CCGGGGCGCGGCGTCGAGCACGGAGGCCAGCTCGCCCGCGAGTCCTCGGCCGCGATCTGCCGGCCCGCGGACGGGGCTAGCAGTGCTCGTGGCTCTCGGGGCTCTCGAGGGCGGAACTTGACATCAGGCCGGGAGGGCGCTAGCTCCGGCCCCGGGGCAGGTGTCTTAGTGGTTCGGGGCACCCGGACAGCCTGCGGGTCCCCTCCCCCTCCCGCGCCCACCCAGAGCCGGAGCAGGACCGTGAAGTTTCGCCAGACTCCACCCTCTCCCCGCAGCTATCTGGGCCGGGCTGGGCCCCCGGGAGACTTCTAAGCGGGCTGGCCTGGAGGGCATTAAGCATTTCTGGCCAGACCCCAGGCGCCGAGTCACGCTTGGGCACGCAGCCCTGTTCCTGCGCGGTTCCGGGAGCTGCCAGGGGAGCCATTCATCCACCCGGGTGGCGGAGTGAGCCGGACTCGCCGGATGGGCAAGCGGTTTCGAACACCTTCACACCTTCCTCCCCAAGCCTGTGTCCGAGGAGGGCCCGAGTCGCCAGTGTGCAGTCCAGGCTCTGCCTGCGACCCGACCCGACGCAGGGCAGCCTGTCTGGGCTTTCTCTGCTTTTATCTGGAGGCTTAATTTATTCAACAGGTATTTATGGGGATGAACTGAGACCTGGCGGCCCGCTGGGTATCCCCAGGTCCAGTCTGGCCAGTGGGGGCGGTTTCGCTCCAGGACCACCTGTCCTGTTCTTGTCTTCATCGGCTTGGGGTTGGCCCTCATAATGTCTTCAGCCACTGGCCAGTGGGGACAGCCCCAGAGGAGTGACGAGCAGTGGCCTTAACCTGAACTTCCCAGCCTGTTACCCAGACAGGTCTTCAGGAGCCGCTGGAGGGGGAAAAGCCTAGAACTTTGTGCAAGTGGGAACCGGGCAAGGTGAGAGGAGGGCCGTAGCCCCGGGGGCCTGCTCTCTGCACCATATCTGTCCCTCAGGTCATGCTGCTCCCCATGTGTACCTCCTGGGGAGGACCGACCCCAGGCCGCCCTCCTGGCCCTTCTACCCACCTGCGGTGGGTGTCTGTCTGGGGGCAGCGCCCCCTCCCAGGCTCCTGGGGAGCATTCTTCCCCCAGAAGACCGAGTTCCTTCTGCAGTTGCATCTTTTTTTTTTTTTGAGAGATTTTTGCTATAGGGCGCGTGCGCTCGCCAGACAGACAGAGAGAGACAGAGAGACAGAAAGCAGGAAATCACCCCCCAGGGGGGATGGCCACGCCGCAATCCCTTCTCCTCCATTCTCCTCTCGGGATCTTGGGCACGCACGCACACGCGCCCGGCGTGAGTTTAAGCCACCGGGTCCGGGACTCGAACCGTGGTCGACTACGTGGGAGTCCAGCGACATAGCCATTACGCTAACTGCTGGTCCCTGCAGTTGCATCTTAGGACAAGTGTCAGGGCGGTGACATTTGGGAAGTGACACTCATTCTAAGGCCAGACCTGCTTGGAGACCCCACTGGTCCCCAGGACCCATGAGTGGGCACAGGAAGCCTCTGTCTGCAGCGCCCTTCTGCCTGTCAGGGCAGGAGGCAAGCTCATGTCCAGCCCCTGTGCCCATCCCTGCAGGCCCTGCCCAGCACTGGGGTACACACTGCCCCAGAGCCTAGTCTACCGTGGATGCAGCCCTAGCCACTGGTCCCCCCCACCCCGCCTCAGGGGCTCTGGGGGGGGCAGACTTGGGAGAGTGACCCAACCGTGTCCCAGGTCATATTCCAAGTCAGGCAGCCCTCCGGAGGGGCTGATGAGGAACAGGGTGCAGGCACCATCCCCCCTTGGGACCTGGCCCTGAGGCCCCTGGCCATTTCCTGCTCTCCTGGGCTCAGGATGGGAGCGGGCAGTGCTTCTCTGGGACGGCTCTTGGTCAGACTCCCCAGGAAGGAGGGCCCTGGGCGCGGCATGGACAAGACAGGCACAGGGAGGCACAGGGAGAAGCTCGGGGCGGCATCTGTCCTGTGCCTCTTGCCACCACCTCTGCTGCCAGGGGCCTCTGGGCCATGGTCTCTCACCGCCCTGGGGCACCTTGTGAGTCCAGGTTCTCCCAGGCAGTGGGCAGTACCCTGTGTGATGGGTCCCTTGCTGCTGCTGTGTCCTCAGGGAAACTGGCTCTCTCGCGACCTTGAGGTTGAAAGGGTGAGAGCTCTGATGGGGGCACCGCTCAGCTTGTTCCTGAGGACTGAGGATAGGAGGTTCTGGGGGAGGGAGGCCACCAAGCACTTGCTCCAGGGCACCCAGACCAGTCCAGAGCGAGCCAGGGCCCGCCCTTGAATGTGCCTCCCAGCGGAGGCGGGGTGGCTGCGGCTTCTCTTCCCGTCCCACCACTCCCTGTCCAGCGCTGCTGGCACCTGGGCACTCAGGGAAGCCTGAGCTGGGCCTAGCTGCGGGGCAGAGGCGGGCAGAGGCCCCCAGCCGGAGGGAGAAAGAAGGCCTAGGGGCTCCCCATGCACGTGTTCGCTTTCGAGGACCCATGGAGAACAAAAGGAGGAGGCTCCGATTTAGAAACTCCACAGCCTGAAGTGGAAAAGAAGGGGGAGTGCAAAGGAAAGAAGCAGGAGGGTCCCAGAAAGCCAGGCCCACGTTTGGGCATCCTGAAGACAGGCAGGCTCGCTGGGGGCCTTCACACCCACCTGTGGCTGTCAGGGGCCCGGGAGCAGCAGAGGAGCAGGTCTGGAGATAGTGCACATGGCGGATAAATCACGTTGGAAACTTGCCCTGATCGAAAGAGTGAATCTGCGGAGGGAAAGGGCTGACGGGAATCCAGGCAGTTAAAGGAGACACACCCTTGGCAGCTTCTGGTGCCATTTCTGGATCCTGAAGATAAAACCAGAGGCTTCTGACAGAATAAACGTGTCCTGGACGAGGGCAGGGGTTTCTCTGCAGCACCAAGCACCAGAGCCCTCGGGGACGCCGTAGACGCCCAGTGGCCTGGGGCTTGGGGTCGTCACAGCAGGACTGTGTCCTGACCGGTTAGGAGGTGTGCTTTGCAGCTGAGCAAGAACTCGGAGGGCGGTAACCCAGGAAGCCTCCGAGTGGCAGTTGACAGTAGAGACCCCAAGATGAGAGCGGAGGGAACAGCCATGGCTCTGCAACTTGTAGGTTCTGGGTGAACATCTGGGAGGCGGCGGAGGAAGGGAGCCCTCTTGGGGCAGCCCTCACCAGGGCTGGGTGGGAGAGGCACAGGGCTGGCGGTGCCTGTCTCGCTTCTGTGATCAGAAGTGTTAGAAATAAACAGCCTTTTCCCGAATGTACAAATTAATGTGCTACCGGGGCTCCATAGTAATTTGCCAGAACAAGCAAAAACGTAGGCAAGAAAAGAAACTATCCCTGGGCCAGCAGGTGGCGTGGTGGTTAAGGGTGCCAGACTCCCACATGGATGTCTGTGGTTGGAGTCCAGAGTCCCGGGCCTGGCAGCTTGCTTTCTCACTTTCTCTCTTGCTCCATCCCTCTCTGGTCAAAATGAGAGAAAGAGAGAGAAAGAAAGAAAATTAAAAGGAAGGAAGGAAGTTAAATAAAATAATTCTTTTAAAAAATGAAGGTGCAGAATGTCAGACCTGAAATGGCCTCAGGCTGGGTTAGAAAACCAAACCCAGCTATCAGTGTTCAGAAGAAAAGTAAAACAAATTAGTTAGCAAAGGTTCAGAAGTGAAAGCTGGGGGGAACCAGCAGTTAGCATAATGGCTATGTCACTGGACTCCCACGTAGTCGACCGCAGTTCACATCCCGGACCCGGTGGCTTAGAACTCACGCTGGGCGCGTGTGCGTGTATGCCCAAGATCCCGAGAGGAGAATGGAGAGGGGATTGCGGCGTGAATATCCCCCCTGGGGGGTGATTTCTCTCACTTTCTGTCTCTCTGTCTCTCTCTGTCTGTCTGGCAAGCGTACTATAGCGAAAACCTCTCAAAAAAAAAAAAAATAGTGAAAGCTGGGGACTGGCCTGTGGCCTAGTGGTTAAGGGAGCTGGATCCCACATGGCCAGCCACAGAGTTTGAGTCCTGGGCCCAGCAGCTTTAAAAACATGCCAGGTGTGTGTGCATGCACGGCCAAAATCCCCCCAGGTAGAAAAATGGAGGAGAAGGGGGACCAGGGGACGGTGTAATGGTAACGTCACTGGACTCCCACATAGTCGACCAGGGCTCAAGTCCTAGACCCGGTGGCTTAAAACTCATGCGTGTGTGTGCGCGTGTGTGCCCAGTATCTCAAGGGGAGAATGAAGAAGGGATTGTAGAGTGGCTATCCCCCTGGAAGGGGTGATTTTTCACTTTCTTTCTCTCCATCTCTTCCTCTGGCAAGCGCATGTACTCTACAGCAAAAATCTCTCTTAAATTTTTTTAATGAATTATTTTATATCACTGTATGTATGTATGCATGTATTTATTTTAATTTTGACCAGAGAGGGACAGAGTGAGAGAGAGAGGAAAAGAGAGAAAGCAAGGCACCAGGTCTGGAACATGAACCATGGTCAGCCCTGTGGGAGTCCAGTGCCCTTCACCACCATGCCACCTGCCAATCCCTCTTAAAAAATGCTTTTAAAAGATGAAAGGAAAATGGAGAAGGGATTGTGCCCATCCCAGTGGGCAGTGCTGTCTGGAAGAGTTGGGAAAATACTGTATCAGATATGTGTACTAAGAAAGCATGCAAGATCAGCACAGTTAATATCCAAGTGTGGTTTATGGTCCAAAGTGTTAAAGGTTACAAGGACATTACGGAAAGCTAAGAGTGGGGCCAGCCAGTGGTGTGGTGGTTAAGGTGCTGGATCCTACATGGCTGACCACTCAGTTCCAGGCCCAGGCCAAGTCCTGGACCCGGTGGCCTGAATGACATGCCAGGTGTTTGTATGTGCATGCCTGAGATCCCGAGAGGAGAGTGGGGGGAGGGGGTGGCAGATTGCAGCGTGGCCATCTGCCTGGGAGTGCTTCCTCTCTCTGTCTCTCCAGAGTGCACATGCCCATATAAATTAAGAAAAAGATTGGACCAGCAGTTGGTGCAACAGCTATGTCGCTGGACTCCCACATAGTCGAACAAGGTTCGCGTCCCGGACCCGGTGACTTAAACTCATGCCGGGTGCGTGTGTGTGTGTGCCTAAGAGCCCGAGAGGTGACAGGAGGAGAAGGGATTGCGGCGTGGCCATTCTCCCTGGGGGGTGATTTTTCGCTTTCTGTCTCTCGGTCTTTCTGGCGAGCGCATGTACCCTATAGCAAAAACCTCTCCCCCCAAAAAAAGAAAAAATTACTCACATGTGAGCCATCCAGAACTAATATGGTAGCTCCAGGTTTTTTTACTTTAAAAAAAAAAAGAAGAAAAGAAGATGAAAGCAGTACAGTTTGTGAAGATGTTGGATAGTTCACGATAGCCAGCTGTAATGGGGAACAGGAGGCATGGGTAACTGGGTGCAGAGGAGGGCTCCGAGCCTAGAAAGTCAAGGTTCCGAACCTGGCTTTGCCCTACTAGCTGTGTGGCGGGGACATCGATTCTGTACCTCGGTTTTCACATCTATAAAATGGGTTCACAGCCCTGTAATGGGTAAATAAGTGGGAAACATGCTGTTCTTTATTTATTCATTTGTTTGTTTTAATTTGACCAGAGAGTGACAGAGTGAGAGGGAGGGGGAAAGTGAGAAGGCAAGCCACCAGGTCTGGGACTTGAACCATGGTTGCCCATGTGGGAGTCCAATGTCCTTAACCACCACACCGCCTGCCTGCCCTGGAAACAGTGTTCTTAATGCAAATCTAAGACTAGTAACCAGCAGGTAGTACTCGTCCTCCGTGTTACTCCACAGATGTTTTCTGTTTTACTTACGTTCACACACTAGTAGCAGTAGAAAAGAGAACTTTGACAGCTCTGGAAGCTCTAGGCCAGGCCTGCGGGAATTGGTGTCAGTTTCGTGACCTCACCGAACCTGCCCCTTCTTCCACGAAGTGGAGAAATGACGCTGTCTTGCTCCGTGGTGATGGCGGTTCACAGAAAGGCATGCAGCCTGCTCCGAACTCAGCACTGGGGAGCTGTTCTGGAGGGAGAAGCTTTGTCCTTGGAGGGCGCTGGGTTTGGGGCAGGCCCTGAGCTGATAAATAACCAAGCGTGACTGCTTAGCCACCTCACCCCCTCGGCAGAAGGAAGCGAGGTGGCAGCCGTCACCGTCACCGGTTCTGCGTCAGGGACAGGCAGGGGTCAGTTCTTCCCGGGTAGCATTTCCACGGCTGTCCCAGGGCAGGGGCGAGGTCTCACCACGTCTGCAGGAGAGGCAGCCAGGGAAGCCCCGGCCAGGAGTTGGGAGGGTGGGCTGTCGCAGAGGCAGTGCATGCAGCCTGCGCCCAGACCCGGCGGGGACGCCCACTCAGCCTAGGACACCGGGCACACACTGGGCGAGAGGATGCACCTGTGCCAGGTCCGGTCGGCGTCCCTCCCCTCCCGCATCGCGCCAGGACTTGCCCAGTGTCCAGCACTGCAGGTTTCCGAGGCATCTGATCACAAGGGACCCCTTTTTTCCTCCAGGTGTGGCAGGCGTGCTTGTGGGACACCCATTTGACACGGTCAAGGTGAGTGTCGTCACCTGCTCACTTTCGGGCCGCGAGGGGTGCAGGCGTTGGCCAGGGGCGTGCAGGGTAGGGTAGCTCGAGGCGCACGCCAGCTCCAGCCCCAGAATGCGCCCAGGGGCTCGCCAGGGCTTTGGGGGTAAAGGGTGAGTGGGGGTTCTCTGCCAGGGTGGGAGGCCAGCCTGCCTTTGGGTCCGTCCTGGCTCCTAGCTGGGCCGAGTGCAGTCTGGTTCGTGGCCAAGTCCATCTGAGGCCTGGCCAGCAGAGACTGGCGGGCTGAAGGTCAGGTCTCCTCTCGTCCAGAGCAAGGACACCCACTACTTGGGTGACGGACTCCCCCAACTCCTCGGGGAAGTAAGAAGTCCAGAAAAGGCCCACGACCATGACTGCAACCTCGGGGACAGCAGTGCTTGCATTAGTGAGAAACTCAGTACTGCTCCCAGGAGGTGTCCTTGGGGGCCCTCGGGACAGGCTCTGGCCCTCCCCACACCTCCAGAAACCACAGCCCCATGTTCTCAGACACCCCAGGAAGGAAACCAAGGCAGTCCACGTCTTCTAGTTGGAAATTCCCCAATAAGCCTTTCCCTGTGGTGGGGTTCTGCTTCTCAAACTGGCCGGGTCAGGACCCTCCCTGTGAGCAGCAGCCACCTGGCCAGACCTCCCACACTCGCTGGAAACATGGAACTTGGCACCTTTTCCCACCGAGATGAGGACAAAGCCTGAGGCAGGGCACCTCATCCCACGCTGGGCTTGTGGACTTCCTGTCTCCTCTGTGTGGGTGAGCCCAGGTGTTTGCTGGCCAAGAAAACGGGCTGGGACTTCTTCCAGTGCGGGCACGAGGCCTTGCCCAGTGAACCGACTCAGACCTTCAAAAGTTCTGTCCCTGGGCCGTGAGCAGCTCTAGGCCCCTCTGCCAGCCGTTTGCTCCTGACCTTGGGCCAGACTTGACCTCTGGGCACAGATGTTCTCATCTGCAGAGTGGGTTGGGCCGGGTGGTCACGGCCCCAGGTGCCCAGGAGGGTAATCTGTGCTGGAGTAAAATGCTGGTTCTGCAAAGCCAAACCTTCCATCCCTCCGCAGGCACCTGGGGAGGCTGAAGGGCCAGACTCTCCGGCAGGCAGTGGGCCCTGAGTTCCCCACGTGGCCTCCAGCAGGAAGGCCCTGGAGGACCTGTCCACGCAGGCCCTGCCCACAGGCCAGATTAGCCCAGACAGCCGGGCAGTGCCCACATGACGCCGTCCCTATCTGTGGCTACGTGTCATGAGGCCTCTTGCAGCTGTGTCCAGCCAAGAAGTCCCTTTGATTTGCGTCCTCAGTCCAGCTCTGCAGAGGCCAGGAACTGGGCTGGGCCTGGCCAGGCCTCCCGCGGGCGCACTCAGACAGTCCCTGTCGGGGTGGGGACACTTTGGTCCTGGCGCCTACACCTCCCTCTGAGCTGCGGAGGCATGGCCAGTGCCCCTCCTTGAGCTGAGCCTTTTATTGTGAAGGGGAGAAAACCTGCCCCTGGTCATCAGCTCGGCCCGCCAGCCCCACTCAGGCTCGTATGCTGTGATGCTGCCCCTCTCCGAGGTCACTGGCTGGACAATGTCACACCCTGTCACCAACGCCTGTTGCTTTTATCGACCGTCTCCCATTATAGAGCCTAAACATCCTCAGTAATGCTGATCTCCTTCCCCCGACGCGTTGTTTACGTGTGTGCACGGCCTCCAGGATGCCCCCCCCTACCGTGTTCCGGGGCATGTGATATATATACGTGTGTGTATATATTTTTAGTAAGTTTTTACTGGAGAGAGACAGTACAGTCCCTTCTCCGTGTTCCTTCCGGGTCTTGGGAACACGTGCACATGCCTCCGGTGTGATTTTGAAGTCACCACGTCTGGGACTCGCACGTGGGAGTCCAGCAGTATTCACCATGCCCTCTACTGGTGCGGATACTTTTTAGATTTTTGTTTTGTTTTGTTTTGTTTTGAGAGATCTTTTGACTATAGGGCATGTGCGCTCTCCAGACAGACAGAGATAGGGAAACAGAAAGTGAGACATCACCCCCAGACGGAATAGCCACACTGCAATTCCTTCTCCTTCATTCTTTTCTTGGGATTTTGGACACACATGCACTCGTGCCCGATATGAGTTTAAGCCACTGGATCCAGGACTCGAACTGCAGTTGACTATGTGGGAGTCTAGCAATGTAACCATTATGCCATTTGCTAGTTCCAGCATGTTTTAATCATCAGGTACATGATTGGAGCATGTTTTTTGTTTGTTTTTCACAAAAATAATATACTATAAAAATATTTTGGAGCTGGCAAGTGGTGTGGTGATTAAGGCACTGGGCTTCCACATGGCTGACCATGGTTCGAGTCCTGGACCTGGTAGCTTGTTTTCTCACTTTCTCACTCTCTCTTGCTCTGTCCCTCTCTGGTCAAATTTAAATAAATAAATTTAAATGAAATAGTTTTTTTTTGAAAGGTTTTTGCTATAGGGCATGTGTCCTCGCCAAAAAGAGACAGAGAGACATAAAGCGAGATATCACCCCCCTACGGGGAAAAAGAAAATAATTATTATTTTTTTAAATTCTTTTTTTGTTTTTTTTTGAGAGGTTTTTGCTATAGGGTGCGTGCACTTGCCAGACAGAGAGACAGAAAGCAAGAAATCACCCCCCAGGGGGGATGACCACGCCACAATCCCTTCTCCTCCATTCTCCTTTCGGATGCACGCACACGCACCCGGCCTGAGTTTAAGCCACTGGGTTTGGGACACGAACCGTGGTTGACTACGTGGGAGTCCAGCGACATAGCCATTACGCTAACTGCTGGTTCCCAATAAAATCATTCTTAAAAAGTTTTTTTTAAACTATGAAAGAGATATACTAAAAACAAAATAGACTCCTAATATCCTTTCTTTCCCAGAACCCTCCTGAAAAGCAGAAGTGTACAGGACCAGCAGTTGGCATAATGGCTATGACACTGGACTCCCACATAGTCAACCTTGGCTCAAGTCCCAGACCCAGTGGCTTAAAACTCACGTCGGGTGCGTGTGCGTGCATGCCCAAGACCCGAGAGGAGAAAGGAGGAGAAGGGATTGCGGCGTGACCATCTCCCCTGGGGGGTGATTTCTCACTTTCTGTCTGTCTGTCTCTCCAGCGAGTACATGTGCCCTATAGCAAGAATCTCTCTCTAAAATAACAACAAAAGCCAGAAATGTGCACAGGCCCGTAAACATTCCTTGATCTTGGACAAGCTCTGTAGCCTAATGGTTCAGAGAGCTGAGTGCCACATGGCGGACCACAGTTCGAATCCCAGCCCTCAGTGGCTTGAGGCATATGGACGTGTGTACCCAATGTAGCAAAGGGAGGGGGACTGGGAGAGGGAGGGTTGCAGCACTGCCGTCCTGTCAGGAGGTGCTCCCCACCCACCTCTCTGCGTGCATGAGCCCTCTGACTGGACGCCCGCATGGCTGACCTTGGTTCTAACCCCAGATCGGCAGCTGACTTTCTCACTCCCCCCCATCTCTGGTGAGCACATGTGCCCTATAGCAAGTCAAAAATGGTGATCATAAAATTTAAATTTTTTTTGAGAGGTTTTTGCTATAGGGCACGTGTGCTCACCAGATAGACAGAGACAGAGAGATAGAAAGCGAGAAATAACCCCCTGAAGGGATGGCCACGCCACAATCCCTTCTCCTCTATTCTCCTCTTGGGATCTTGGGCACACATGCACATGCGCCCAGCGTGAGTTTAAGCCACCGGGTCCAGGACTCAAACCACAGTCGGCTACATGGGAGTCCAGCGACATAGCCATTACGCCAACTGCTGGTCCCAAAATTAAATAATTCTTTAAAGAAACTTCTTTAAAGTTCTTTGTTTTGGCAAAAGGGGATTTACTTCTTATTGCTATCATTGGTTTTTTTTTTTTTCTTTCTTAAATTGTACTCTTCAGAGAGAGACAGACAGGAAGAAAGGACCAGCCGACGGGCGTGGCCATGCCAGAGTCCTTTCCTGTCTCCACCCTGCCGGAATCTTGGGCACATGAGCACATGTGTCTGTTCCTTTTAAGCCACCGCACTGGGATTTGAACCGTGGTCAGCCATGTAGGTTCCGGTTCCCAGTGCAGAGCACGTAACCACGGTGGACGGTGCCAGCCCTGTTCTTGTTTGCCATTCAAGTTTGACGCACAGGGAAAGCACATCACCCTCAGTGTCCGCCTGGCTCAGCACGAGCCCAGCCTGGCTCCCGCCACCCAGGCCAAGTCCTCCTCCCTAACAGCGCCTCCTGCCTGCCTTTCCAGACGGCCACCATCCTAATTCCCGACGCCCTGGGTCCCTTTGCTTGGTATTGGATTCCGTGTAATTGGAGTGCTACTCCCCAACAGTTAGGAGCCCCCGGGTTCCGTGTCAGCCCCTGCCGACCCGCAACCGCAGACATCAGGGCTGGGACATAAACAGCTTATTTCTTCAGGACCTTGAGACCAAAACGTCCACGGTTTGTCTTTTTTTTTTTAAGAATTATTTTTATTTAACTTTATTTATTTATTTACTTTAATTTGCCTGGAGTGAGGGGAAGGGAGAGTGAGAGCAGGAGCAAGAACAAGCGAGAAAGTTAGTCACCAAGTCCGGGACTCGGACAGTGGTCGGCCACGTGAGAGTCCAGCGCCCTTAGCCACCATGCTGCCTGCCGGCCCCCAAGGTTTGTCTTCCCCACGTCGTGGCCAGAACCGCAGCCACAGCCCCCTGGCGGGCATTCTGTGCAAGGTGGTTTTCTGTCATCCCAGGCTCCGTGCCCAAGTCGCTTTTATCGGGATCCGCCGAGGATGCTGTGCCTGGCACCGGGGAGGGGCTGGGCGGGGGGCTGGCTGGGGGCTCGGCACCTGGATGTGATGTTGATTTCGTGTTGCTTTAACCGCCTTTACTTTCTGAGCTAGGGGCTGTCTCCACCCATAGCAAAAGTAACTTTGTTGTAGATGAGCGTAAGCCTCACCCGGAGCGCCTAGTAAGTACAGACCAGGTGAACCTCATCCCCGTCCTCCCCCACCAGATCCGGGCTTGGACCCCACCCTGCCATGTGCCCCCTTCCACTCCCACCCCCAGAGTGCCCTCTGTGACTGGCAGGGGACAGGGAGGGTGTGCGGCGAGTACAGGCCCTGGGGTAGGGGATCGGGCAGGGCTAGTGGAGGAATGAGTCCCTCTGGGTGAGCGGTATCTGCACGAGAGTCCCCAGCCCGAGGGAGTTGTACTCAGATGCCCCTGTCCCCGGAGGGGGACCCCATGTCCATCAGTCCTCACAGCTTCTGCCACCCCACATCTCAGGACCCTCAGCTCTAGGTGAGACTAGGCCCTTCAGACTCATAGACGGGGAGGGCTCGTCACAGACCCAGGGGCTGGAGCAGAGTCAGGACAGGCCTCTGGCCACTTGGTGGGCGAAGCCGAGGTGCCCTCAGCCTGCCCGTCCCGGCCGCTGGACCTGCACGCTCGCCAGTCTGCCCTGGGAAGCGGAAAGGCACAGCCCAGGCACCACCACAGTCTGGCCCCAGGGAGGGACCACTCTGCCCCATGTGGATTCTGCTGACACAGGCCTCTTTGTGCCAGTGTCGGGGTGGTGTCCCACCAGAGAGCCCAAAATGCCAATGAGAAAGCAGAAGACCTGGCATCACGAGCCTTCCCGCGACCCAGCACATGGTGTCGGTGTGGCACCCTGCGTTTCCCTTCTGCAAACCCAGGCCCCACTGCCAGGTCCTGGCAGAGTGCTGGGCAGCGGGGCGGGCGTGCTGGGGTAGCTCATGCCAATGCTCACAGCTGCCAGCTGCTCCTTGGAGCAGCAGCTTCTCGCTGTGGAGGTCTGCACATGCAGAGATGCTACTTTTCCCTAGAACCTTTTTTGGCAGTGCATTTGCCAACAGAAGACCCGCCTGTTCGGTGGGGTGAGTTGGAAGCGGTTCCAGAATTGACCGCACAGCACCTGGCTGTGCCCGGTCCCGACCACCACAGCCTTGCATGTCCTTGCAGAGCACGGCCTTGGCCAAGTTATACGGCATCTTTGAGCCCCCCTTCCCATCTGGAAAGGGGACCCACAGGCAGGGGATTCCAGTGCCCGGGGACGAGACGACGAGCATGCAGCCCCCCGCATCCCGGGCACTGGGGCTCCCTCTCGGGCCCTGACTCTAACATGGATCATTTCTGATCGGATCTGGGGGATCAGCTCCTGGGAATGTCCCTGACCTAGTCTATCCTCCACTCCCACGGAGCGGCTTCCGCGTTCATGACCTGTCCCTCCCACTCTGCCATGGCAGAGCCAGCGTGTCGAGAGCAGAGATTAGCTCTCAGTTGCCATTGAGCACTTTGGCATGTGAGAGGTTCTGGGCTGCTGGGCCTGAGCGGTGCCGCCAGACCTTGGAGTCGCCAACCTGGGTCCCCCAGGAGGCTGTGAGCTGCCTGTCACCGCTCTGTTAACTCGGCCATGCCCACAGTGGGCTGCTGCAGAAGCCAGGCAGTGCCTGATGCCTGGTGGGACAGTAGCCACTCTGCAGGCTGTGTCACCTGACGAAGTACAGGCCGGCCTCCAAACCTGGTGCGTGCACATTGTCCGTGCACAGTGCAGACGGAACGTGGCTGCCCCGACTTGTCCAAAGTCTTGGGGACCCTCTAGCCAGTTGACAGCCGCAGTCCCTGTAGATGCCTGCCCAGACACCCCTCCCCAAGAAGGCATGGGTACCCACCCTGCCCCCCCCGGAACCCCAAGAGCCACAGAAAGCTACCAGGTTCCTTCCTCGTGTGTGGTGCCGTGGCCTCCAGAGACTCCCCGGGCAGTCCTGAGCGCAGGGCAGGGGAGCTGGGTGTGTGCAGCTGGCCCCCCTTTGATGGGGCCCTCTCTTTCCAGGTGAGGCTTCAGGTGCAGAGCGTGGAGAAGCCCCAGTACCGAGGGACCCTGGGAACCCCAAGAGCCACAGAAAGCTACCAGGTTCCTTCCTCGTGTGTGGTGCCGTGGCCTCCAGAGACTCCCCGGGCAGTCCTGAGCGCAGGGCAGGGGAGCTGGGTGTGTGCAGCTGGCCCCCCTTTGATGGGGCCCTCTCTTTCCAGGTGAGGCTTCAGGTGCAGAGCGTGGAGAAGCCCCAGTACCGAGGGACCCTGCACTGCTTCCAGGCCATTGTCAAGCAGGAGAGCGTGAGTGCCCCACACAGGGCAGGGGGTGGCTGGGGCAAAGCCTTCCTACCAGAGCTGGGCCACCGCAGCAAATCAGCCTGGGGGATGTGGGGCGTGAGGCCTGGGCCTCTCAGACTGTGCCTCTAAAACAGGCCGTGTGACCGTCCTGAGCATCTGGTGTGGGCTGGGGCTGCCACCATTTTGAGTGGAGGGCCGTGGACGCTAATGGCCCCTGTCCCCCACAGGTGCTGGGCCTGTACAAGGGCCTAGGCTCGCCCCTCATGGGGCTCACCTTCATCAACGCGCTGGTGTTTGGAGTGCAGGGTAACACCCTCCGGGCGCTGGGCCGCGACTCGCCGCTGAACCAGTTCCTGGCAGGCGCAGCGGCGGGTGCCATCCAGTGCGTCATCTGCTGCCCGATGGAGCTGGCCAAGACCCGGCTGCAGCTGCAGGACGCGGGCCCGGCCCGCACCTACAAGGGCTCCCTGGACTGCCTGGTGCAGATCTACCGGCGCGAGGGCCTGCGCGGCGTCAACCGCGGCATGGCGTCCACGTTGCTGCGGGAGACGCCCAGCTTCGGCGTCTACTTCCTGTCCTACGACGTGCTCACGCGGGCGCTGGGCTGCGAGCCTGGCGACCGGCTGCTGGTGCCCACGCCGCTGCTGGCGGGACACG